TTTTTTTTTTGTTATAAAGAGATTTTCTTATAAGAAAGTTACTGACCCTCTTGTAGGTTTCGAAAACTTTAACAGTTTGCAAAACCAGTTCTCCTTTCCCCACACCTCCAGCAAAGTTCATTTTCACTTGCCCACAAGTTTAGTTGAAACCCATGGAACTCGATCTTGAACGTTGTAGAACTCAATTTTAAACTTGCTGCGGACTGTGAAGTTGAGGAAAATTTGAGCTTCCTAGCTTTGCTGGTTGTTGAGTTGAAAATGGGTGACAAAGTTCACTCGCTTCCGAATACATACACACTCTAGCAATCTTGACAAAATGCTTTTTGCTCATTGTAGTTCAAAAAAACGCATTAAAAAACTTGTAGTCTCAAGCTTCATAATTTTTTGCGGCGCTGACGAATATAGTTGGTTTCGACTTTGCACGAATATTGCCTTCGGTTGGAGTTAAGATTGCTCTTTAAGCTCCTCGAGCAATACTATTGTTGCCACACAGTTAATTGCTTCTGTAGTCAACTCCCATCTTGCATAAGTATATTAATGGAAGGGCGGGTAGTCATGCGTTGGTCGGAAGCAATTTTCAAACTGAATATTAAAAGAGCTTATGTCGAAAAAAAAACCCCTCAACTTTCGAAACTGTACACTGTTAGAAAGTATGTAACTGTTGCAGTCTGAAGTCTGTAATAAATTGGAAATTGTTTGACGAATTTTTCAGCCTATTGTCTAACGACACAAACTCACTTCTCTATAGTCAGTATTAACGGACCTGCGTTGAAATTACTTGCACGTTATGCCAACCTGTATAACAAGAGCTGTATCCTTAAAAATGCCTCAGTTCACGAAAGGGATTTGTTACGCAGAGGATATTTTAAACTATGTATTGAATTTTTGCGGCTTGCTTCAAGATAGTTTTTCCCGAAAGTAATTTTAAAATTAGTGCACTGAAAACGAGCGTGATGTGGACTGCCAGCGTGTCCACGAATTGACTGTGGGTAGGTCGTATTACCTTGGAAGAGGCTGGTTATTTGAATGAAACTGGTAGAAGTTGACCTGGATTAAGTTGGAAAATACGTTTTCCTGGCCAAAAGGAGATAAGCTCCAGACAGAGGTAGCATGTAATAAAGGATGATATGGTCTCTAACCGGATCAGAAGAACACCGGTCATACGAAAAGAACAGTGTAAAGAAAGAGGCTTAAACGTTCGTAAGTACGAGCGGTTAGACTTTGTTTTAGAGGAGCACTTTGTGCGATACCACTACGACCACGTAAGAAAATATTATTCATTGGGCGGAACACGGTGCTAGCACTGCTGACAGACGATAAATGTCACTTATTAATAGGTGTAATTTATTTTATAAAGGAGTTAAATAACTGCTTAGGCGACCGCCGAAGAGGTAGCGCATATACGCTGAACAAGCGACGAGTACTCGCTGGAGGTATGCATCCGAGGACTGGGGAGTCTCGTATAGCCCAACCGCCTTGTAACTGTACAGCAGTAACATAGCTGACGTACCGGATTAATTTCCTTTTTTTGCAAACAGTCAATGAAAAAAAGTTTAATTAGTGCGGCAGTCCGCTAATATTTCCACGTTTCCATATTCCCCTACAAGTTTGTATTTTTATTAAAATTGCTGCGAATTCATGTTGCTGGAACTGCTGGCAACTTCAATGCGGAAAATTGCCGGAGAGATAAAATCAAGACTCCGCAGTACCGTAAATGTGGAGCGTTACATTTATCGCTCTATTCAAGATCGTTATCAACCCGTAAAGCCTTGCTTTTGTATTCTTGTCGGTGGTGTCAAATTGTAACGCCTGCTGCTGACCTGGGCACCAACTTTTCATTTACATCTCCCCTGCATCTAACGTGGATTCTCATTCACCCCTCAGTACCGGCTCAAAAAATGTGAACGAATATTTTTTCTTTTCATCCTTATTTTCAGCTTCTTTTCTGAACTGGTGACGTTTCCGAATATTATTTGTGATTTTATTACTAAGTGCTAGTCGATGAATTTAGAAGATAATTTGCTAATCTAACTCCAGGTAATGATCTTTCTTTGTCACACTCATTTTGCTCGTTTTGTGAGAGGGGCATTTATTCTAAAAATGTCCAAAGATATTTCTTCCTTTTTTTCTCATTTCAGAGAAGCTTAGGACAAGCGGCTGCTTGCATCCAGTTTGTTTTTAAGTAAACTGCCGTACTGCCGAAAATCTGTGTTCAGGAGGACACTGTAATTTGCTGAGTTTAAAAACACTGCGTTGAATAAGAAAAACAATTATTTCCTCCTTGTCAAACTTCATATGAGATGACATTTGGAAATTAACCGCTGTGCTTTCAAAAATTGAAGAAGTTCCAGACTTTTTTCAACTCCATTAGTCAAACTGTTGTCAAACCATTAAAAAAGAACTCAATAATACGAGAGAGATTCAATTTTCTTTGTATGAAGCGCATTTCAAATTTTCGCTCTTTGTCAAGAAATCAGTACTATCGAACTTTTGCAGCGACCAAAATGGGGTTGATCAGTGCTTCGCTGATTGCGTTTGTACTCGCCTGGATCACATATTTTGTCGTTGGAAAGTTAATGGTCATATTCAAGCAAGTTGGCGCACTGCAAGGTCCACCAGCCTTACCACTCATTGGCAACCTGCATCAGTTTCATTTCAAGGCAGATGGTATAATTTGTTCAGTACTCTTATGCATCTATGCATAAACAATTTACATGAAAACGGATGAAGACATTTGTCTATATGTCTGTGC